ATAAATAGAGACCCTTTAAGTAACAAGCTAATATACCCCCTTCCAAAAAAAACAAAATTTGGTTAGACAAATCAAATATTTGAAGTTTGATTAATCTTACAAAAAATATATCAACATATATGTCTCCTATTAAATTTACTAAGTTTATAATTATAATCTAATGATATTTTTTTGCATATTATAAAAATGTTAGTATGTTCTTAGATTTGGCATAACCTAAATTTGTTTGACTTGAGGGAAGGGAAAATTTCATTCTTTTGTGATTCAAGATGACATGTGTCCATCCGAGGTATAGCAATGCTCGTCATCGTCAAAGAGAGTTTGATTTCAAGATGAATTAATACAAGATGTCAAGTTTGATCACAAGATGACACATACCTTTATGAGTTAGAACAACATGCTTGCCTGTGGTACATGGTACTCCCTCCATTTTTACTTACACGTCTTATTAGATTTGACCTAAGTTAAATATTTGTATCTTTGACCATGGATTTTTAAAAGTACATAGGTTCATGATATAAGATTTATGTTTTTAGATTCACTATGAAAAACACTTCCATAATATAATCAAAAGTTTGTAAAATGGTAAGTTTTTTTTAAATGGATAGTCAAAGATAGTAATATTTGACTTAAGACAAATCTAATGTGACATGTAAACAAATGGAGAGTATGATTCTAAGACGAGTTAGATCGGATGACGTCGTCGTTGAATAAATTATACACCCCATTGCAACACATGCGTATATTTGCTAGTGGCAAATTGGTGAATATATGATCCAAACATTGCTAATATGGCAAAATACATACATATCAGTTAGACACTAGAATTAATAGATAACCTTTCCAGCACGAACATCCCAAATCAATCATGAACAATACTAGATCAGTTGCAATCTACAAAAGATAATCACATATGGACTAGAAGTTTTCAATTTTCTATTTTGGACCAATAAGATATAACATTTCTATCTGACCTACTTATCGCACGATAAACTATGACCATAATCCTATCAATACCCTATGCTATCACTCTAGTATCCGACAACAAATTGTTGATCACCTTTAAGTGAAAATACAAACTTATACGATCATAATATTGGCCAAGAATAGAGTAATCGCTGCAAAAACAAATGATGGTACCAATCCGACAAATCTAAGAACTAATATCCTCGTGTGAAAAAGCTTACCTTGGCATGATTTGAAAAGAGGATTAAAGTTCATGAACAATAGACTAACTATATTCACACAACACCTGCTTCTTGGTGATGAGGCTCCATGGTTAGTAACTTATATGTTTGGCGTTGTGAAGCAGGGCACCTGCTTCGTGATGCCCATCTTATAGTTGCCGAAACCATCATAAACAATTCCATACGCATAGTGAACGTGTCGTAAACCTGCTATTAACCCTAGCACCTAATAAAATACATATTTTATCACACTCATATTGTTTGTACCATACACGTATCAATTTAAGAAGTAAAGTACTGCTTATTACTCGAGCAGTTTACAAGTTGGACTAATTTACACCCATCTACTAAGTTGTTGTTCGATGAATGTAATTAATTACTCAAACAATATGAATGTTATTATAGAGGATGTACACTGCAAATAACTGTTGGATGAATGAATTGTTGTATTTCGCACGTGCATTTACCTAGTTATACCAAAACAAGCACCGAAGAAGCTTCATATCTCAAAGCAAAATTTGTGATCCCGTATCTTTTGCCAACCGACGCGATACTCGTATTGATCAGTACTATAGTGTTCAATACGGAGCGCCGTGACAGGCAAAGCATGGGCTAAATGGATACCAGTGGCGACCTAACTAATGTGCCGTCTTAAGCACGAGCGTTTGTTAATTGTTACTACTACTCTTAAGAAAGAAGACACCACGAGCTTTGCTAGATTTACAGTTGGACGTTGCGTGGATGCCATTACTTGCCATCTCAAACGCCTTATGATTAGGAAATTAGCAAGGGCTTTTGCGCTTTAAAGCACGAAATCCTTTTTCGCTTTGAGTTTTAAATTTGGAAGGAAAGAGGAGTACAACTTTGGGTTGCTTTCATAAGGCAAGTCTGGGTTATCCATTTCTAAAATGGACATCTAAACCTAGTGTATCTTCACCCAATTTGGATCGTTGCCCTGTTCGCTTGGCTGATAAGTCATGGCTGAAAGTACTGTTGGCTGATTTGTTGTGAGAGAAAAATATTGTTCGTTGACTGAAAAAGTACGGCTTATAAGTCAAGCGAATAGGGCGAGCTTGTTTATTCCCCTACTGCTGCTACCGTGGCCAGCATTGTCTGGGTGAGCAGAGCAAATTCAGGCATTCATGATTCAAGATTAATTACAATAATACCGAGGGCGCTCTAAATGGCACTGAATACCTACCATTATCTTTTGGAGAGGGCACTGAAGACAGAAGTTATTCAACCATGAAGCCACTCGCTCTGACCTTTGAAGGTCTGAATATTCCCCTTCTATCCCATTGCACGATCTGGAATAGAAGCTGGGAAGTCAGTCAGATCTGCAGTTACAGAGCCTGAAATAAAAAGATGAACGGTTACTGCCTTTTTTACTGGAAGCTGCAGAGAGCCAGGCCGGTCAGAGGCGACGAACAAGGAAGGCTGCTAGCTAGGGTTTCCAAGGCCCGCTTCCTTCGGTCGGCAGCATCCCTCGGCCTCTTGGGATTACAAAAGAAACTCCCCCACGCCTCTTCGAGACTCTCAATAAACTCCCCCCACCTGGCTGTCTGGCTACCACTCCCCGTTTTCTTTGTTCGAATCCATTGGAGCCCACGAGGTCGTTGCCTCCCTCCCTCCCCTACCCAAAACCCTCTGCCCTCTGCCTCTGCCACTAAATAAGTGAGAGCCCCATCACTTCGAGTCTTGGATCCTTGAAGATTCTGGGCGATCTCATCATCTCTCTCGCTGGGTCCTATTCTTGGCAGGCTTTTCACTTCCTGGATCCGTTCAGATGCGCGAGGCTAGCAGTTCCTGGAGTTTCAGGACCCGCCGGCTAAAAGGTACTCATCATTACATACAGGCATCTGCAGGGCAGATTGGCATGTTCTATTCTTGGATTGTTTTTGTATTTGTTTCCTTCTCCTGGACGCCAATCGGCTAGACGCAATCTTAAATCCACATTCCGTGTTCATGGCATTGATTCGATCGAAATAAACATGTTCGGAAGCCGCGATCTTTCTTTCTTGAAATCTATGCTCGTTTGACTTGTTGTCTCCACGCAGACTGAAGATCACAGACGCTCGGAGTCGGACGCTGCTCAGTCTCCTCTTGCAGGACGGAATCTGATCTTGGAGATGGAGCCGGCAAAGGGGAAGATGAGGAGGACGTCTTCCAGCCTGCTTCTGCGAATCACGGACATCTGCAAGGTGCGTTCCGTCGCTGTCGCGGAGAACGTCGGCGAGAAGCCCAACGCCGGCAGCACCGGGGGCAGCAGTGAAGACGGTGCACACCTGAAAATATATCCGCATCAAGTCTCTGACCATGAGAGTTGCTCTGGAACTTCCACTGCCCGCTATGAGGATGCGGTTGTTGAGAAGCTTCTTGATGCAGTCTCTAGTCTGAAGCTGGCTTATCTCAAGGTTCAGCAAGCACATGTGCCATATGATCCTGAAAAGGTTGCGGCCGCTGGTGAGCATTTTGTGTCAGAGCTTGAAGAGACAGCTGGGCTTAAAGATCTGTATTTTGGTGTCAGCAAGTGGAGCAATCCAATGTACCAGTCTCATGTGAGCTCAAGGATTCATGAGCATCAAAAGCTTGCTCTGGAGTTGCAGGCTGACATCTGCAAGAAAGATTCTGAACTTGTTCTGTTGCGAGCAGAGTTTGAAGAACTGGAAAGGAGGAATATGGAACTGAAGGAGGAAGTTGACCGGAGAGCGTTGCTCATGCACAGAGAAATAAGTTTTGACATTGGTAAAGGGGGATCAATAGATATGTTCATGGAGTTGTTTGAGAATTCATCAAAGTGCATACATGATTTCACGAAACTCGTCATCAGTTCGATGAAAGTTTCTGGATGGGACCTCAACTACTCTAAGTTTCCAGTCGATAAATCTGTTGTATTTGAGAAAAGGACTGACAAGAAGTATTGCGTTGAGGCGTACTTTGCTCGGGCAATGCTGATGGTGACCAAAGAGGACTATTTTTCCATGGATTCTTTTTACCATGTTATGAGTTTCAAGGATCCGTTCGATGCTCTTGTTGAGTCCCCGAATTCCAACTTTGGAAAATTCTGCCGAGAAAAGTATCTGGTTGCTGTACCAAGTAATATGGAGGATTCCTTCTTTGGAAATTTGGATCACAGGGCATTTGTCAAGATGGGCGGTCATCCAAGGACACAATTTTACCAGACATTTGCAAGAATGGCTAGATATGTCTGGGCATTGCTCACCGTTGCTCGCTTCTTGAAACCAATGGCTGAGATGTTCTTTGTCAAGAGTGGCGTTCAGTTTCAAAAGAAGCACATGGAAAGTGTACCAGCTAAGCTGACCACAGAGGAAGCAAAGATCAGTGTTGGGTTTACAGTAATGCCGGGCTTTAAGATCGGATGCACTGTCATCAGGTGCAGGGTCTACCTGTCCATGCTCAACACAAGAGACTCCTAAAAACACATTATATAACTACAGCATTAGGTAAGCAAAATGCAGTAGCTTTATAGTACTCCATAGTTCTATAAATAAGCTTACAGTTGGAAGCTCCTCCTGTATTATGATAGGAACATGAGCTAATAGATGACTCAAGAGTACTTGTTGTAAAGTCTTATGCTACTATATAAACATTTTCAGTAGTTTGCTCTGATCTTTCTGGGTCATGGCGCCGTTCATGATCTACTTGAGTACACTGAAGAAATTGAACTTATGGAATGCGCTGATGCTCAGTATATACCAATTCATTTGAAAAACTGTGCACAAGGAAAGTTTGGCCCTTTGAAGCCAGAACGCTACCTATTGTATGTAACCATGAGTGAAACAATTATATAGTTCATCTGGCGAAGATTTTGGCAAAGAAGTTTGTTGGTTTTGGGTTCTCCAAGCATGCCACATGAGCATATCTTCCTAGTTTGTCAACCTGCCTTGGCTCACCCCTTGTGTCCTTCTTGCAGATCTTGCAGGTCTTATCGACCCAACCTTCCTCCACGTACTGTCCATCGACTGAATTTGAAACCAATTTGGTTTGTCAGTATTCGGTAACTTGATATTCTCTCTCTTGTTCAGAAAAGAATAACCAAAACTTTGTGTGTGATAATATATTTTCAGTAGGCACTATTTTTTTTAGAAAGGCCCAATAGGCACTATTTTCATCATACTGCAATTGTTTTTGACGTATCACACTATACAGCTTATTCAGCCATGCGGTGTTTATCTGAATATCAGTAGACAATACACGCGAATATTCACTTGGCATTTAATTATTCTCATGAGAAAGGTATAGATGAGATACCATCAACATATGACTTGAAGAAATCCTGGTAGGTGCCACCAATCTTCCGCCTCAGTGCTCCATACTTCATTGCAAATCAAACAAGCGTATGAAAAAAAAATCAGACTACTGATTTTAACATTATCGATCCACGGTTGCTTTGCATCAGTGGTTGTGGTTCCATACCTGTTCCCTCGTCATCATCCCTCCAGCTTTGGTGGACTCCCTGGCCTCATACAGCAGCTCGGCATCCTTCTCCGACCGGACCTGCGAGAAGTCCAGCGCCTCGGTGATGCTTCCGAACAGCGACTGCTTGTTGCCCTCCTCCTCATTTCCCTTTGCATAAGCTCTAACTGATCTGGGGACACCACTGCTTGGCCTGATTTGGTGAGCTCCAAACGAGGAGCTCTTGGAAGGGGTCAGCGGAAGAGCCCTCATGGCCATTGCTTCAGGAATCAGTAGTTCAGGTGCAAGTGGTTTCTGCACAAGTATGTACAGGCTCGCCGAGCGATCGGGCCGTTATATACGGAGGACCATTTGGGGCGCGGACAAGCAGCGGCAGCGCATCAGTTCTGTGGTGGCTACAAGGCTACGTGGTGCAAGGCAAGGCCTGCTGAAACGAGAGGGGAATTCTGGCCCAGTGCGACGTGGGTGTGTTCAGGCTTCAGACATGAGGAGGACGCTGCGTATTGCTGTTGCCTGCCTGCAGCGCTGTGTGTGGCCCAGGATGTAGAGGAAGAGGATTGCCGGAGCTAGTGACTGAGAACTGGGCCGCGTGGCTGGTTTACCTGAAGTTTACAGAAAGGGATATTTGTGGAGCAGAGAAACACTCTGCATGATTAGGCAGAAAAGGGAAAAAAATACTTGAGCATAGTCTTCCTGTCCACGTATCTGACTCTCTGAAAGGGGACATTTGTGCATGGGATCCTTACTTTCAGTTTGGTGAAGATGGAGATGCTGTTTCCAGGCTGAGCTTTGCTCGGTGCCTGCATTCGCTAGCTTGAAAGTAACCATGTGCACCGTGCACGGTATCATCAAAGACCTCAATTATAGACGTGATTTGTTTATCTACTTTGCTTGACCTGGCTGTCTCCCGATAAGTACAAGGTGCAACACTGACAATCTGACATAGAGCCCCGAGAAGGCCTGACTTTGCTTTTAACTCGGATGAGTTCAGCTCTAGAAAGCAACTTCTATCAAGCTCTAGGTGGTTATTCTAATCTAGGATCTCCAATTACTCGTGCATAATGCCTAGATGCTGGGCACGGCGTGTGCTACCCTTGACCTTCCGGATCAAAAGAATATAATTGCTGCATGCAGCCTTTTCAGTTTATTAATGGACAGTTATGTTTGCTAAGAAGCTAGCTGATGAGTGGCTCGGCAGGAGTATTTCAGATTAGATGGTTTGATAGTTGAAGGTGAGTGATCACTTGAAAAACATTTGAGCAGACCACTGAGCATGACTGCATGCCGCTTTGGCACCCCAGGTGAAGGCTGAAGGCAACAAGCATGTGGACCTCAGGTGCCGCAATCTCCATGATGGCCTGCCCCGTAGCAATGTCCGTCCCAGCTTGATTGATTCCATCCCCCATCAGATCGTCGTAGCATCAGCATTCAGCAGCATCAATGCTGAAACAATCATGGCGCCATGCATGCCGCCGTGACACACACACGCCCCTTTCGTTTGTCGCCGGCAGGGGCCCTTGTGATCGGATCAACGTCACACAACGCCCCGGCGAACAGTTGCCGGTCCTTTTCTATCTTATGGTCGTCGCGAGGATTTAAGCGATGCCTTGCCTTGCTCTGTGACGGAACCCTTTGCTTCAGTCAGTATGCACACAAGGATGGATGGGTCGCCATTGTTCAGGGATACTGCTTGTGATGTTTCTTGGAGACAAATGACGCGAGACCAAGAATATTTTAGGGCTACTTAAACAACCTCTGATCGACCACTGGAATGGCAATTGGCAACGATCAAGAAGAATTGGACCACCGGTATGCATGGTGAGCTGGACACCAAAGATTAACGGGAGATTAGTCGCAGGCTTCGCTGCTGCGGCGGCTTTGTGTCATTGAATAGCCGCCGGCCCGGAGTCTGCGCCTGCACGTTCGTCGTCGTCGTCCCGGCTCTACCGCGTCGGCGCGTCGCTCCCATCCCCAGTCTCCCGCTAGGCTTTATGGGCGTCGCACACTCGCACGTGTGTTGTCACGTCAGGTCAAAGCCTACCCGGACAGGAATTGTCCTCTCGCCGTCTACGACTACGAGTCTACTACCCCTACCAGTACCAGTACATTTTGGTAGTATACACGAGTACGGGTGCTATCATAATAGTACTACTAGTACGTAGTACGTGCGTGCCATAATAGATCTTGTAATGGTACTTGGATGGATAAAATCTCTATCTCTACCATTGGTCCCGGCACATTTTCAGGACCCAAGTTCGTGGCTTACTACCTCATTACACATACACACCACCCAGAAAACGACTGGAACACGCTTATAATCCCCAGCTAGAGGGCAGGACCAGGACCATTACGAGCTCCGGGTCATGACGCGCGCTAGCTATATATACGCCTATACGTACTGGTATTGCGTTCCTTTCCGTCGCGCTGAAAGCATCTGTATTCCAAATTTCCTATGCGTATATATGTACCGTATCGCAGCAGGTATTAGGTCCACATCACCAGCCGGGACTAGAAGACACGGCCCTGGCGGTCGACGTACGCTATGCTCCAACCGGCGCTGTCCCCCCGGGCCATGCATTCACCTTCCGTCCACGTACGTTCCTAATTGCTCGGTGACGAGCGAATCGATCAGGACCAGACACGCTAATCTCGTGACGAAAACAGGCCTTAATCACAGCAACGCCCAGCTCGTCTGCAGGCTGCAGCCATTTTATCAGGCTTCGACGCCCCTGTCATTGTCAACGGATCGGAGGGCCTCCGGGCATGCCGAATCTTGAGATTGACCGGTGAGCGCGCGACACCGCGCGCTCGTAGTTAATTAGGAGTAGGAGCCCCGGGAAAGATGGCACGGGAGAGCTTAAACTAATGCCGTCGCGTAATGCGACGGGCAAGGGGATACCAGCAGGGCCTGTGCGAGGCAGCCGGTGCCCTTCGTGTTTTCGCTTGCTTCCGCGCGGGCGACTAAGGCCGCCGTTTAGATCCAAAAATTTTTGGATTTTTTTCTACTGTGGCACTTTTGTTTATATTTGATAATTAGTGTATAATTATAGACTAATTAGGTTCAAAAGTTTCGTCTCGCGATTTCTCACTCAACTGTGTAATTAGTTTTTTTTTCGTCTATATTTAGTACTCCATGCATGTGTCACAAAATTCGATGTGACGGATACTGCGTAAATTTTTTTGAATCTAAACAGGGCCTAAACAAAACCCCATCGGCCGTGCATGGGGACATGTTAGCAGCACCAGCAGCAGAGTAGGCCGTGGGAGGTGCGCGATGCTGCTGCCGCGGCCGCTCACCGCAACGCCCGACAGGACGGGTAAAATAATCCCGCGGCCCGCGTACATGCTGTCCCCCGGCGACGGCGGCGGCTGATCTTGGTTCTTGGGTGATTTTCCTAGGCGACGCGTCCGTGCGCGGGCGCGAGGGATGACTGGATGAGAGGCGTCGGCGTCGCTGCCCCCGCGATCGGCGTCACTGCCCCCGGGCGGTGAGATGCCGTCGCCACCACCGGTGACGGTGAGGAAAACGCGGCTCGCCCACCTCTGTATTGTATTCTATCGCGGATACCATGTTTTCTAGAGGAATATATTCCATTGCAGAATCGCAGTACCTTGATATAGGGATTTGGATAACATGGTTGCAAAGCACCTCGCAATGGATCATACAGCCCTCAAATCTTTTCTCTCTCTTTCTCTGTATACAACACAAAAAAAGAACCATTTTTTTATCATGTTCGTTTGTCCTATGAGTCGTACTATTTTAGCGAACGAATAGTGTTTTTCTCTCATAACAAATCAGCGAACAGTACTTTCAGCCATGACTTTTCAGCAAAACGAATATGGCCTTTTTTTTTGTCTCTCGGAGAATGGCCGATAGTTTCTACGGCTAATAAGCCGACTGAAGCTGGTTTATTGTTAGGAAAAAAACATTGTTCCAGGGCAGGGCTAGCGCCCGAATCTCTGGACGCAGCTTCGACGCCTGCACAGGTGGTGCATCGGACACCTCCGTGCTCACATAGATCCCGCGCTAGCGATCGCGTCCGGAAGCCCGTGACCCATCTCGCTCCTCCCCCAGCCGCGCCTGTGCTTCTCCCCTCGTCAGGCGCCATCTCCCGTCGTGCCCCCGTCCTCCGCCGCACTATCTCGGCCGTGCTACTTCAACATACTAATGTATCATCTCCTCTGCAACATTCGTCCGACCGTTGCAACACATGCAGTTTACTCTTGAAACATACCTATGTAATATTGCAACATCAAGATGAAACACTCGTAACATGCGTCTGAAAACAGCTGAAACATTTAGAACATACGTCTAAAACAGCTAAAGCATGTGGAACATACACTTAAAACATACTTATATAGCTATTGCAACATATGCAACACCAGATCCTTTTGCAACATCCAGATGAAACACGTTAAACATAAAGATGAAACACATGAAACAAATATCTGAATCGCGTAGAACATACGGTTGCAAAAAGGCTCATCGATACAGAGCTCAATGCTAGCGCGGAGTTTGATGCCACGGAGTGACGCGAAGGGCGGCGCTAGTCCAGCAACGAGGCATGGGCCTCGGCAGTGGTCGAAGCAGGCGGATGGCGCCCGTGGCCGCGGAGGGCAGCGCTTGTCTGGGTCGGGAGGCACGATTCCTAGCGCGAGGCGCGGTGGAGGCAGCATATCTGCGTCGATGGGACGCACGATGAGCGGGGCGGGCGACGGGAGGGAGCGCGCATCGCGGGCGGGGTGCGCGTGGCGGGCATGAGAGAGCGACGCGAGAAGGAGCAGCGAGGCGGGGTGCCGTACGGCGTCCAGGTCGGAGGCCAGCGCTCGAGCAGGGCAGGGCTAGTGACCGGACGTCCGGACATAGCTTGAACGCCTGCATCGGTGGCGCATCGGAAGCCTCCGCGCTCGCAGAGATCCCGCGCCAGCGATCATGTCCGACAGCCCACGGCCCATCTCGTGCAAGCGACTGTGTCCGGCCACACGCGACCCATCCTGCGCCTCAATCCCATCTCGGTTGCGCCCCCGCATCGAGCCTGCCGCGCTCCTTCCCCGCCACGGGTCGCTCCTCCCCCCGCCGCACCACGCTCCGCGCACCATCCCCGACCGCAGTATACTCTTGAAACATAACGAATAGTCATTGCAATATCCAGATGAAACGTTTGCAACATGCGTCTGAAAACAGCTGAAACATTCAGAACATACATTTGCAACATACATCTGAAACAGCTGAAACATATGGAACATACACTTGAAAC